ATTTTATAGAATGAAAGCTCCTGATTTTAGTCTTATATTTGAATAAATGACCAAAATAAACTAATATTCGTTTCTGTTTTCTGTAACTTAAAACACACAGTAATTAGTCTTTTATATACAATAAATTAGTTAATCATACCTGGTGTGAATATTTGGAGTTTTTTGTCACTAATCTGGTGACATCACTAGACGTGTTCCTTCAGTCCGACGCTGTGTGGAGCTGCTTCTTCGGCCGAACTGCGAGCGAACCAGGAGACAAAAGCAACAAAGTGAGCCCCCCTCCTCCGGATCAATCAAATGTGTCATATTTAACCGTTTAGGAGCCGAAACCCCGTGATCCTGCCGTCACACTCCACAGTAAGTACACCGAGCTGCTCTGGGTGTCACACAGGAGCGTATCGCGGGCGGCACGTCGTGCTGAGTGCCGCTCGTCGGATTCGGATCTCGTGTGGTTCGTGTTGCTGCCTCGGCCGGGTTCTGCTGCCTCGCCAGGTTAGCTTGTGTGTCCTGTATGTGGCCTAGCTGGCAGCTAACCAGCTAGCATCCGTGGTGCTGTCCGATATTAAGCGAACCCACGGGTCGGTCCATATTATTATTATTATTACTAATTGAAAGTGCCATTGCTGCGAGGAATTGTGCTGAAGCTCACGTGACAGCAGAGTTTTACCTGTCTGCTGGTTTTCTGTTTATTTAGCTCTGCGGCTAACAGCTAGCTGCACTGACAACGTCGTGTTTACTGATGATGTAGCCTTTACTACCTGCTGTATTTTATGTTTTTGTACACGTGAGACGTTACGATATATTAGGTTTGTATTTGTGACAGTATTTTTTTCATTCAGGTTAAGTGAAAATACCCAGTGATCACGTTATTTACAGTTTCATAGACTGCACATACAGGCTGTCAGTCAGTCAGTGTTGGCTATTTTCTGCCGTCCTCTAGCATCTTCCTGCCGAACCCGGAAAACTATTCGACCCTGTRCTCAGAGGGAAAACTACCTTTCTGCTGTGTAAACATGTAAGGTTGGCCGATCGTTTACAACTAGAATAAAAAAATGTATGCCTTATCTGAAGCTCAATCCACTGTGTGTTTATTTTGTAAACATTTAATACGCAAAGAATTGATCAGCTAGAAATAAATGCTAAATTTTCACATTTATTKTTTGTTATTTCTCCTGGGTGGGTAGCTTGGATTACAAAAGAWAATAGTTTTAAATTCCTGTGTTAACTGCCAGTAAGGTTTTGTTTGGTTAAATGAAAGGGCAATAATGTTTTTCGTTTGTATCCGATGAAACTTTCAAAACAAATCCTAGGTTCTATGATTTAAACAAACCTTTAAATCAACCCCATCTTAAGCTGTAGCTGAGTCATCCTTAGTACATACTTTTAAGTGCTAACGCATCCCTTCTTGTTATGATTTCAGTTTAATATTCTACAAAAGGAGGTAGATGATATGCATTACCTCAAGGAGTGCTAAACCTTTAATGTAAACATGAACTGTGGTGTCAAATTAAAAGACTAATAAAACGACACATATGTATAAAATATTAAAATACAGCTATAAATCAGTTTCGTGTTCATAAATTTTGCTACCATTAATTATATTACTGCTCATGATTAGTCCTTTAAATTGATAAAAGTTTGAAGACCATAAAGTCGTGGAAACTCAAGATATCACAATTGTGCAGTAGTTCTACAGGAGAAATATTTTAGCCACCAGCATGTGAGAGCTGTGACACCGTTTGTTGGCCCAGTTCTGACAATAGTTCACAAGGGAACCTTCCAGAGTACCAGTAGACCCGGTTAAACCTGTACCTGTAACTAAAACAAAGTCGAGGCAGCTCCAGTTCCCTTAGACATTCAAATAGCTTTTTTCCTTTTTTTTTCTTTTTTAATAGCAAAGGTTTTAAAAACAAAAATGTAAATTGTCTGCTCTCATACTAAAGTGAAAGTCGATCTAACAGCATGTGTCTTCCCCTATTTTAGCTGCTTAATTGCTGCTGTTTTAAATAATACCCAGTAGGTTCAAGAAAATAAAAATGAAAGTAAAATGCATGAGGCCTGATTTGACCCAGTCAGACAACTTTATTTCCTCTTTAGTTTGGAGTTTGTTTGTTTTTGTTTTGTTTTTTTCCCATTTACACAAAGATCTAATCTAATTTCTTCATGTCTCTGCAGATTGTGTGTCAAGAAGTGGAACTACTTCCTGTAATAAATGGAGAAGGACACGCAGGCGCTCTGTGGCTCCGACACCAACGCGCACGTCACATCGCCTGCTTGAGCTGCTAAAACGAGCAAACACAACTCATCATGGACACCTATTTCGCAGAAGCTGCTGCCATGGATGGGGACGAAGATGTTCCTGACATGAGCGAGGATTTGTTCTGTGGATCTAATGACTTCACGGAAAGTAAGAAAAGAGAGGCAAAGGGGAGCTGCTTGAAGATCGAGGGGCAGGACGGTTATGTGTTCAAATCGTACAGCATCAACCCTCATGATGTGGCAGACGCCATGCTGCCTGCTTGCTCCTCGATGCTGGATAAAGACTCCCTCCCCTCTTGTTTCCATTTAACTTCTCAGGTAGACAAACGGCTGGAAACGTGTGACAGTGATTCAGATTCGTCTGACACAGACACCGAGGAACACACGGAGAGCGACAAGTTTGAAAACGGCAGCGGATCGAGTGAACACGTCAGAGATGACATCGATGATGCAAACGGGATGGAGGACGAAACGCAATATGATGAAAGATTAGCRTTCGGTGGCTCCATTGGCCCCTTTTTACCCAGAGATGTTGACGATTATAGTAATTTATTTGGTGGCTACACAAGCACTCTTTATGACGTTGCAATGGACGCTGTCACTCAGAGTCTTTTGTCATCCATGAGGAGTCAAGCCAACCCGAGGAAGAAATCTCCCGCTTGGAATCATTTCTGCATATCTCCACGAGACAACACCAAAGCAATTTGTTTATACTGTATGAAGGAGTTCAGTCGAGGCAAGAATGAAAARGACCTCAGTACGAGTTGTTTGATGAGGCACGTACGAAGGGCTCACCCCACCGTGCTTGTACAAGACGGAGACGCATCCCTACATAACCTGCCTAGCTTTTTTGCCTCATCTTTGATACCACCCTCCCCCAGCTCACCAAAAAACGGAGACTTCAACAGCCTTCTTGCTTTCGGCTCAAAGGACACTTCACCGTCCACGTCCTCYGCTGAATGTTCAGACCCGTCCCCCAAAGAAGTGTTACCCAAAGTCGAACCAAATCTAGAACCATACGCCAGTGCGGACTCCGTTTGTGACCCCCTCGCTGATTTGCATTCCAGTGACAATAACCTTGAGGACCTGTCGGACGAGGTACCCGTGCCCCCTTCGGGGACCCCGAAACGCTCCAGTTCCCGTCGCAGGTCTGCTGTTTGGAAACATTTCTACTTGTCGCCTGCTGACAATTCCAAAGCAGTATGCATCCACTGCATGAACGAATTCAGCAGGGGTAAGAATGGAAAGGATCTCGGGACAAGCTGTCTTATTCGTCACATGTGGAGGGCTCACAGAGAGGTTGTAATTGAGGAAAACGGACAAGGCAATCACATCCCCCCACCCTATACAAACCCACCCTCATTGTCCCGTACACATCTACAGGATTCACTGGATATTAAAAAAGAGCCAGCACTTCTGTCATCACCAGAAACAGAATCTGATGATCTGCCCCACAGCATGGAGGATAGTATAGACATTAAGAAAGAATGTGAAGAGTTGTTGCATCTCTCAGCACATGGCTCTTCTCTCAACCTTTCCTTTCAAACTCAGGGGGACGATACGCCACTTACTTCCTCACCGTGTGACCTCTCCGAGGGTCCCAGCTTCAAACAGGATCATTCCGTTTTCCAGCAAAACAAAAAGATCATGAAACGGGTGAAATCTGAAGTGTGGCACCATTTCATAGTGTCGCCGGTTGACCAATTAAAAGCACTGTGCCGTTACTGTCCATGTGTCATCAGTCGAGGAAAACGGGGCGACTTTGGTACAAGCTGCCTGATGAGGCACCTAATGAGACGTCACCCAGACGTTCTGAAGAACCAAAAAAGCACAGACAAAGAGTTGTTCTCTCATCCCTACATCAACCTCCCCACAACGAATGCAGTTTCAGCCAAAGAAGCTGATGCCCCCCACGTTGACAAGAAGCCACCACACCTCCCCGTTTTTGGTAAAAAGACATCAAAACTGTGGAACCATTTCTCCATTTCGCCCACTGACCCTACCAAGGTGGTTTGTTTGCACTGTAGCCGAACAATTAGTAGAGGCAAAAAGACTACAAACCTTGGCACGAGCTGCCTCTACAGGCACATGCAGAGGTTTCACAGACATTTTCTTGAAGGTAGGAATACGATCTCAGGTAACGTGCCGTCTGCTACAATTCGCGTTAAACAAGAAGTCATGGACACGGCCGATTATCAAGCAGAGCAAAACTGTGAGAGGTTTGATGAACATCATCCGGTTGCCAAAAAAATCACCAAGCTCATTGCAGAAATGCTCGCACTGGATCTCCAGCCAGCAGCCGTGGTAGAGAATACTGGACTCACCAGACTACTAGAGTTCCTCCAGCCTCAGTATGCTCTACCACCTTCTTCTTACTTCACCAGCACTGCCATACCAGATATGTATGAAAAGGTGAAGGGTGTGTTGCTGACCCACTTAAAAGAGGCTGAAGCAGGTGTTGTCCACTTCACAACAAGTATTTGGGTCAGTAGCCAGACAAAGGAATACTTGACCCTCACTGCCCACTGGGCAACMTATGAATCAAATGTCAGACCTCAAGGTCAAGACTGTCACTGTTCTGCTCTCTTAAGTGTCTCACAAATAGACCATGATATGCATGACATCCCAAAGCAGCTGGAATATCTTTGGGATTCTTGGATCACTTCAACGGGACTGAGGAAGGGGTTTACTGTAACAAATAACAGCACTATCCGACATACTTTAGATGCACATGGTCATGCCACCCTGCAGTGTTTTGGACACGTTATAGATCTTATCATAAGTGAAGCCATAAAAAGCCAGAGGATGGTCCAGAACGTTTTGAGTATTGCACGAAAGCTCTGTGAACGAGTGCACCGCTCGCCACAGGCGAAGGAGAGGCTGGTCGAGCTCCAGAGGGCCCACCAGCTTCCCGAGAACCAGCTGATCCAGGACGTTCCGTCCAAATGGAGGACCTCCTTTTTCATGCTGGAGAGGCTGGTGGAGCAGAAGACGGCCATCGACGAAATGTCGGTGGAGTGTGATTTCAGGGAAATAATCAGCGGCGACCAGTGGGAGGTCTTGCTGTCGGTCTGCAATGCACTAAAACCTTTCGAAGTGGCCTGCAGGGAGATGAGCACCCGCACTGCCACTCTGGGACAAGTGATACCCCTCGTTCACATCCTCAACAGGAAAATAGACCTTCTGTTTGATGAGACTGTGGGTATAGATAACATGCTCAGGTCTCTCAAGGAAGCAATGGTGACCAGGCTGTCTGCAGTTCTACGTGACCCACAGTACACCTGGGCGACCATGCTGGACCCGAGATACAAGACGTCCCTTTTCACAGAGGAAGAAGCCGAGCGCTGTAAACTGGATTTGATCCAGGAGCTKGACTTGTCCTCTACTACCTCAATTAACTCTCTCCTGCCCAACGGCTACGGCGAGGACCCCGATTCAAACAAGAACCTCTGGTCCATGGTGACTGACTTCAGGCAAAAGATAAAGACCGAGGAGAGGTCCTCGGAACTGGAAGTGCTGGAGTATCTGGAGGAAGACATTCTGGATCAAAGCTGTGACCCCATGGACTATTGGAACCTGAAGAAGTTCTTGTGGCCTGATCTTGCCAAAATAGCCGCCCGTTACGTGGGCTGCCCCCCCAGCATCGTCGCGGCAGACGCACTGTTCAGCACCGCCAGCTGCGCTCTGAATCAGGCCCGGCCAACGATGGACAACATGGAGGGTCTTCTGTTCCTGAAGGTCAACCTCCCTTTGATTTGTTTTCAGTACTGATTCTCACGGAGCATTCACTTGAAAATAACTTTAAAGGACCAAGTTGCATAGCTGTGAAATGGGAGGAGTTTGTAAAAATATCATTTTGATACACTGATTCTTCATGCAAAGGCCAGATTGATTTTTTTTTATTTTATTTTATTGCTCGTTGTACTACTGTTGAACACTTTGGTTCTGTTGTGAAGGTGTCAGTAAGAAGCGTATCAGGRAGGGAGGGTTTATCTAGCTGTAGGGGTTGGTGATCATATGTGGTTAATGGTTTTTTGTTGTCATTTTGTCTGTTCTCTCCTTGTGCCTTATCCAAAACTACTTCAGGTCAAAAAAATGCTGTAAATAGCTTTGAAATTGTGCAGAATGTCAGGATTCTGATTAATTTTTTTTCCTGAATGAAAACATTGCCCAAAATTGAATGCTGTGACTGAACAATATTTTAAGTTAATGCTATTTAATTACTTTGTGTGTGAATTTGAGGCTGATGGTACTGTCGTTTCATTTTTTTTTAAATTGCTGATATGTTTTAAATAAGATCATTTATAATATTGCTGTATTTTCAGAATAAAAGGGGATTTTTTTTTTTGGTATTTACAGTTTGTCTCTTAAGCACAATTTTATGTTGGGGGTTTTAAATTATGGGTTTATTATTGATCAACACAATGTACTGTACATTTTTATATGAAAGGATTTCTGAGCTTAATTTGATAAATGTTTTAGCATTGAGACTGGAGAAATGCAATTTTTTGTGGTCGTTTGTAAATAAAGATTTGCATCTAAAATATTGTTTATTATTAATATTAATACAAAAAGGCGGAGCTGTGTATATATACGTTTTTAAATCCTTTGCTTTTGCTCAGAAACTTCTATTTCTTTATTCATTTTGCAAAAAATACAAATGATGTAAACAATGCACTCATCTATTTGGGTAACATTTTAGATAAGGTTTTGCAGTCCTTTTTGTGGCATGAAAATGTTTTTAATTTAAGATGAGATTGTCACATTTGGTCACCTGAGAAATCAACCTTTTATTCCGGAAAATTYCTGTTATAGTTTCCCTTCTAGCCGGTCCGTTCTCCTCTCCATCAGAACAGTTTTCCTCTCTAGCTTCACGCTGACAGGAGGGAAGTGAGCCACATTGAAGGCCATGGTTTTGTAACCCTCTATGAAAATCATGGGCCGATGGGAGTCCTGGAGCTGCTGGATCCTGGTGGCGTTGGCCTCCATCAACAAGTGCGAGTACATTCTGAGCTCGGGGCTCGAGACGCTTAAATCTTCTCGTTTGTCGTATCTGTTCAAATAAATGACGACGCTTTAAATAATAAAAGTTTTACATTATGCTCCAAAAACAAAACAATACAAACACTAACCTCCAGTTTTTGTTGTGCTCCAGGAAGCGGGACACTCCTGTTTCAGCTGCGTACGTGTCGATGTGAACAAAGACATCTAAGGAAAATATAGACCTTTTAAAATTATTGCAAAGTTTAAAAATTAAAAAAATAAATTCCCAGATTGTAAACTGTGTCTACTTATAACTTCAACCCATAAAATGACACAAACCTCAGTGTATAGATGATTTAAAAGGACAAAAGAAGAGGACACTAGCAGTTTTATATTTTAAAAATTGCAAGAAAGACAAGTGCTTTAAGATCATTTCTTTTAAAAGGCATAAAAATTTACAGCTAATTTCTTGTAATAATACAGACACCCACAGTGTTAATGTACATATAATTTGTAGTCCTATTTGAAGAACCACAGCTTCATTCATTATTAAATGGACTTATGTAAACTTTTTAAATAATATACACAAATGTGACCAATCATATGGAAATGAGGATTAAGTCAGACTTGGTCAAAATGACCTGCTCACATTTTCAGATTCCTGGTTTTAAATGCTACAATTTAATTCCTGGATCATTCTGATGTGATAAATGGAACCAGATATATGCCTTAATTTGTCTTATAGGTTATGATAAAACAATAATATTTGGTCTGAATCCTAATTTTCTGTCATTTTTATGAGGAATTTTTCATTTCATTATGAAGAGGAAATCTCAAATAGTATTTGAATATTCACATTTCCCAGCTGGAAAGAAACAAAGACTTTACCAGCTCACAGGGAAGATCTCAAAATTTGAGGACGTTTTTCCTCAAAATCAGGTTTTGTTTTTTTTTTTTGCTACTGCTCAAAAGTGTTTTGAAATATTTTTTATGATTAAGTTTCACACAGTTTGTTCAAATGAAACATTGATAAGGCATTTATTTGTTATATTTTGCGGAAATGCAATTTTTGTTAGTGTTTTAATCAAAACACTATATTTGCCTATTTCTTCATTTACCACTTTTAGACTTAATCCTCGTTTCGATGTGATGGGTCTCAAATATGCATTCAAATCAGTCTGGATAGTGTCATTTTCCTTAGTAGTAAAAGCATACAGTACAACAAACTATAGTATTTTGGCTCTACAAACTTTAGAAATAAAGATGGAAGAATTAGCACTGATGCATACACAGGGCAGACCCCTACCCTAAGCAAATACTGTGTATTTGAACGTGTACATTAAACTAAAACACAACTGCAAATACTCTGAAAACCTCAGTTCAAACTTGATTTGATTTGATTTATTKATTTAACAGGAAAAGATTACTAAAAGTCAAGCCTGACTCAGCATAATTGCTGTTTTACAGCAGGTTCCTGTTCTGCAGCACATAAAACACTCAGAAATACAGCATCACAATCACATCATTATACACCATAGACACAAAGACAAACAAGCATACCAAATTTCAAAAAGGCAGCATTTGCAAAATAGGACGTCTAAATATGAGCACAACAAAAAGTGTCCAGCAGATGGCAGACAAGATTCTTCTTAAAGGGCTGTAGTTTTGAAATGGAATTTATGTTTTGAGGAATGTCATTCCATGCTTTAGTATAAACATAGAAGAAAGACCTCTGGCCGTAACAGTTTTTAAAAGTTGGTAATATCAGTTGTCCTTTTGTAACAGATCTAGTTGAATGACCACTTCCAGAATTTGATTTGGGCAACAATGCACAGAGAGTTCCATAATTGGCACCTTGGAAGATCTGAAAATATAAATTAATACCACTATACAAAACATAATTCTGAAAAGTCAAGGCATCAGACAATGAAAGAACTGTGCAGTGATGAGTCCAACCAGGAAGTTTTTTATGAATTTTGTAGGCCTGTTGTAGAGCCTAACTATGGGTTCTAAGATTTCATTTGTTGTAAGAGACCAAACAGGTAAACAGTACGACATGGTTGAGAGTATAATGGCATGAAGATAGATATTTGAAACAGAAGATGTCAGATTGGATCTAATTTTTGAATAAACGTATARTTTCTGTTTCAACTTAGTGGTTAAGACTTGTACATGATCACGATAAGTCAAATGAGAATCCAAAGTAATTCCAAGATATTTGTAGATAGTGACAATATCAAGAGGTTTGTTTAAAAAAGTGAGTTGAACTTCACTCCATTATCTGTGCCGCGACTCTGTGAGGAGTTCAAGTCATGACAAAAGGATCTAAAACAGATTCCCACCTGCTGTGGGTGGCAGAAGCTCGTGTAGTTTTTCCAATCCTCTGGCTCCAGGGTAGTTGTTGTAGGAAACGTGKAGACAACCGAGGGAGTACACTGCGTTGATCAACAGCTGGCCAAACACCACTGCAGAGCCCAGTTTGTACAGCCACGATTTCTGATAGTTGCACAAACTGAATAAAAAACAAAAAAAACGTGATTATTAAAAACAAGAGGCCACTTGTCGTACCTCTCACAGCTTGTGTTTTCTCACTATAAAATCCCASATTTGTGATTCGGCTTACATGAAGGAGCAGCCGCGCGCTGCAGCCAAGTTGAACACGGGGATGGTGTAAATGATGAAGCGCAGCTCCTTGTGGGGCAGCAGCGAATACACGAGAACGAAGCCCACCGCGGGGAGCAGCAGCGGCCTGATCCGCCTGTCAAGGAGGCCGAGCGGCACAAAGAGCAGCGTGCAGCCCAGGGCGCGAGGTACCGCAGAGTAAAAGTACCATAAAAAGGGAGAAGTCTGATGGAGTCAAGAACTAACGGACACAGAGAGCTGGCTGCTTTTTTTAAGTAAAAAACGGATTCAAAATCCATTTAGTTTCAGATGATTAAATATAAAATAAAGTGTTTTTTTAAAGGATACCCCCCAATTGGAACTCTTATTGAGAACAGTGTTGTACCACAGCACCTGTCCCTCAGGCCACAAAACCTTCCCCCAAAAGAACGAGTCGACAGTCACCGTCAGAGCTGCGGAGCAGAGAGAAAACGSTCAGGGTTGTACACGTTATTTAGAGTATAAACTGTAACTTTACTCACCCAAGGACAGGACTCCAGCCGGAGCAGCRTAGTACATGAGCCTCATCAGCCCCAGCTTCCTGCTCTGCAGTGACCTCAGCAACATGAGGCCCAGGAAGATGCAGAGCTCAGACCGGAACACGATGATCGCCAAAGCAGAGAGGCCGACGAAGCGAGCGTATTTCTGCGCCATCCAGGATGTGAACGCCACGAGMACTGGGAGTAAAACTCATCTGTCAGCATGTTTCATAAAGAAAGTTTTAACTCAATAAAATCCTATTCAGGAGGCGTTGTACCGATAGGGAGCGCAAAGATGTTAGGGAGCGTCCTCGTGCTGTAGAACATCAGGTGAAACTGGGAGGCACACATCAGGCAGAAAAGAGCTGCGACCGTGGAGCCAAACTGCCTCCTCACCTCTTTCTGCATGTGCCACAGAGCAGCCATGACACACAACCCCAGAGACGCTCGGACTGCACACAACACAACACACACAGCTTCATTAATGATCTGTTCATATCAGTACAAAAACACATCGCCTTTAGGTTCATCTACCTATTATCTGAGTGTAGAATTTAGGTGCACCCAGCAGATATGACACGAAAACAACAGGAGAGCTGAGAGTGGAGAGGAACAACGGGCCGAGGAAAGTCCGAGGAACAACACCGGGGAATTCATGATGGTCGTACTGAAAGACAGGAAGCTATTTCAAAACAAAATACTCAAATTTATCTCCAAAAACTTATCTTTAAACATCTCAAAACAAGAAATTCTTCACGTATATTTGAATTTTTAGTTGGTCAAATTATAAATCCAGACTCAAGTTTCCAGTTTTGTTCTTTTTTTTTTTTACACAACACAGTAATATAAATATTTTTTGTTTGAGCTATTTTTTCTGTTGTAAAATTTTTTACCTTTTTACTCCTTTTTCCATGATTTGATTTTCAATCTTTCAACTTTTGAAAAATAAATCCGAAACAAGTCACAGTTTAAAAAAACTGGCAACTTGAGAAGTAAAACTTACTTTAAAATTGATTATTTATGTGATATTTAGTCACATATCATCTTATCAAATTTACTCCATGACAAAATATCAGTGAGCTTTGTGCTGCCACAATCAAAATATAACTTAATATTTATTTTAGCAAGTTCAGATACGTGTTAGTTTAAGAACTATTCACAAAAATGACAAATGTAGTATTTATATAATCTCATTACAAACTATTTTGAGTTTATTTTTATAGATTTTTCTGAACTGGTTAAATAATCAATGATAAACTTCAAGTAAAAGTTTGGGTTATGTTTTTGTGAGGCTATTTAAGCTAGATGTCACTTGTAAACACAATCCAAAACCTTTGTTTTGATAGTTTTCACACCAGGTATACAAGTATATTGTATTAAATTAACTTAATTTTAACTAAATGTATTAAATTACCTTATAAGTGTAACCAAATTAAAGTGAGAGTAATAAAAACTGTGAACTTGGTGTTTTTTTGAAAACTTGTTAGCTTGTTAGCACATTAATAAATACTGCTTACCTTGTCAAAGTCAAGTCTGTGATACAAAATGTCGTGTGCTGCTTGTAAATTGAAGCTTTCTTCAACTTTCGTAAACGGGCAAATTAATAGGTGCAAARCAGCGACAAAAATTAAAAGAAGCAGCAGTAGCAGCCTCACAGTTCTCCTCTTTTCAGCCATGACAGTTCTTTTCCGATCACTTCCGGTCAACACCGGACGCGAATAGGTCTTCACAACCGCTGATTTACTATCATTTTAAATATTAAAAAAACATTCTAATAATGTTCAGGTACGTTTATATTTACTAGAAATATAAAAAAATAAGTATTACAAAATGTATTTTTGAGATTTCCACGTCCGGGTCGATTGCATGTCCCGCGCGTGGCGGCTTCTGATTTGTAGTTCAAATGATTGACAGGCTAACTATCCAATCAGTGCAAGCCACAATCCCGACTCAAAGGCTGACGCGGAAAACTACAATCGCATCCTTTWTCTGTCGCCGGCATGTAAATAAAACTTTGCTGTGCTTTGCATAGATAACGCTTTCTTTCATTTAATGTTAACAGCGACTCGTTTAGATGTTTCATTCATCTGTATCTCGTTAGAAATTAGCCGAAAACTCGCTTGCTGAGAGAGGGAAGCGTGATTCCTGACATGAAAGTGTGTTTGAATTTGGACTAAGATGATGCTGTGCGCCGGTCCGAAGCTGTGGCTCCTCAGGCTTTTGTTTTGTRCAATTCTTATTTTACTTTTTCAAGTCAACGAGGCTAAAAAGAAAGATCTGAAAAGCGCCTGTAGCACCTGCCGGCAAATCACTGAAAACTTCAATAAGGTCAGATGCTGATTTGAAGCATTTTATTTAGTTTTTTTGATTATTTTCTATCTTATGTTGTCTTTTATTATAGATATGGGCGTTTTACAAGCTTATAAATATAAGTGTTCCGTTCTGTTCCTTTTGTGTAACGATATACTGTGTTTCTCTTTAATTTAGGGCTTTGAAAGAACAGCAAAGCAGAACTTTGGTGGAGGCAACACAGCCTGGGAGGAGAGGAAACTGTCCAAGTATGAGACGAGGTGAGGATGGTCCAAACTGCAGGTCAGCCTGCCACAGGAGCTGTTTACTTTGCTCCAAAATTACAGCATGTTGCCCTCACCTTGGGACATTTATCAAGGCTTTAGATAACAAAAATAACTTGTGAATTAACCCAAAAGTATCAGCTGTTTGCACAAGATTGCMTTATCAAAACACAAGCTGGCAGAGGTTTCTCCTAACTTCGCTTTCTGTTCCTCGTCGCAGTGAGATCCGTCTGGTGGAGATTTTAGACGAGCTGTGTGAGACCAGCAGCTTTGAATGCAACCGTATGGTGGAGGAACACGAGGAGCACTTTGAGACCTGGTGGTTTCACAAGTGAGGGTTTTTTTTTCTTTCTAATATCGCTCCTAACTTGAAATTTGCAGAAAGGATCTGCTTTTTTTTATTTCTGGAAGCATCTTGAAGTCTAAAAACACAAAAATACATTACAAAATCCAATACAAGTAGCAGGAAAGATATAAAATCATATTAAAAGGCTGGTGTTATTAAACTGCAACATCAAATCAACTTATGTGCAAAATGTGTCATGTGATGAAGAYGAGTTAAATCTTTTTAACCGCAGAGGGATAAACAAAACTTTCATATTTCAGWTCAAACCATTTTCCCCAAAATGAAAATCTGTCAGAGGGCTGCGGCCAAATGCAATAATATAATTCATGAAATACAAATACTTCTTAAGTACAGTCCTTTTATTTTTAATGATTAAGCTTGCATTTGTTTGCACAAACTAATACGGTATCAGAATTTTACATATAATTAAATTC